GTCAAGCTTTCTAGAGAAGCCTTACGGTGGTTGCTAATATGTAGTACCACCATTTAGGATGGATTTGTCAAGGGTATGTGAACTTTCTTTATATATATTCCACCACATATTACAAGAGAGTTTGATATGATTTTTTGTCCTATGCCATTCTTCTGTAAAAATATCAGTTCTGTTAACTATTTTATTTTAAAATCTAGTCCCCTGAATATAGATAAGGTCTCGTGATTCCCCATATCAACTATTAGCCTTACTCGACAGAACTGTTTAAATTTTTGATTATTTACAAATTTTGATCTTATCTTATCTTACACTACCGATCGGTTACTCGAAAATAATGGGTAGGCCGACGAAAGTTCTTTTGGTATTTCACAAAAAATCGGATAAGAATGCAAAATATTTATAAAATTTCTATATTCTTACCCTACCCTATCCACACACACACACACACACATATATATATATATATATTAATTTCTAAAAATTAAAATTCAAAAATTTAAAAATTCTAATATTTTATTGATGTTTATAGTTTTTTTGTTGTGTTTTATTGTAATTATTTATGTATTATCGAATTTATTATATTTTTTTTATTGTTATTGGTTTATTGTGTTAGTTAATTAGTGCATGTTACTTAATTAAATTATTAAAATGATCTAAAATTAATAACTAAAAAATATGTACTCACTTGATTTTCTACTTGACTTCTTACCTAATTGTTTTAGACAGAATTCGAGTAGAAATAATATTCTTAATCGGGTAGAGCAGGTCAAGAAAAATTCCTTTCCCAAAGTATCGAATAAGAAGATAAAATATCATAATTTTTATCCGAAGGTGAACACCACAGAACCAACCGAGGGGTATTCATTATGGACATATATACTTAGTGTCAATGTACGTTGGATCTCTTGGTTTCAATGTCTATCTTGATCCCATGGTCTCCAAAAAAAAAAGTTCTATGAAACAAATCTTTACTTCAGCAATAAAGGAAGATAAACTATTTTTTTTTGTTGGTTCAACGGTGGAAGGTATTCAAGTCAGTTTACGTACACTTTGACTATTCAAAGATAGACCATTTATACACGGAACTATTATATTCTTGAGAAATAAATTTTTTATGACCTTAGCACTTATAAATTATTGCTCTAGTCTCACTTTGAGTCGTTAACCATTGTTTTCCTCTCATTTTCCACCTAAGTGATATTTTGCTCCAATAGCCATAATATAATTATTTTGATGGCTTTGAGATGAATTGAACTAATTTGGACAATTGAGAGAAAACATGAGAATTTCAAAGAGTAGAAGACAAAAGGTAAAACTGGAGTAATAGTCTAAAGTTGTGTCGTGTGTAGTCTATCCATAACAAAAGAAACAAAGAAATTTAAAGCATAATTAACGCTAGAGAAATCTTGATCCTTCATTACCAATAAGTAGATTAGCCTAAAAAAAAAAACTAAACATTGCCACTTGAATCTTTTATGTACAAGGATAGATCTAACTACTCCTAAAGAGATTACTGAACAGTTGGTCTAGTAGGTAAAAATTAGAATTTTTTCGATCAATACTTGAGTTCGAATCTCTATAATTACGGTAACTTGGATGAATATCCTACATATAACTTTGTAATACTAAAAGATAATGTTTCGTGACGGATACATGAAGTGACTTATCTGTATACCTATTTTATATACTAAAAAAAACTATTCCAAAGGAGGTAAAAAATGAAAAGACAAAATAAAAGATGGAACTACTATGAGGCATGTGAGACATGACTATAGGTCACCTCATGATGGTCAAGATCTCTACAACCATTCAACTTAATTAACCTTGTCACTTAGTGTGTGTTTTGTGGCTTTATCTATAAGCACTAACCAGCTCAAGGTCAAATTTAAAAAAGGATTGACAAGAGATCCCAACCAATGAGATTTGGACATTGGTGATGGAAAAGTTTTGGCTCAATTCAAATCCCTAATAAATTAAGCACAACTTACATTGAAAATTGCTTGCAAAATATTTTTTTTGTTTCACTTCCATTAGATTTGGGCACGTCATACAAAATCTTTTCTTTTTTCATGATTCAACGGTTAAGAATGTTCGAGTTAACTTATACGCACTTCGACTAATCCTCTTTTTGGTCAGGTCAAAGACTCCACTTCTGCACTAAAGTATTCATGGTTTGACCCCAAAATTTAGAACGTCTAAATTTACAATTCGTTTTTATTACTACTTAAACTATTTTTTGAAATTACACAAAATCTTTTTTGTCATGTTATAAACAACTATTTGCAAAAAGAATAACGTTAAACTGACAAAAAAGAAGAAAAAATAAAGACCAAATAATTTGACGCTAATATGATAGGACTTTTAATTATATCAACGATTCCTCTTTTTAAACACATTTTACGGTAGGTCTAACTTACCCTTAGGCAATAGGCTTCCATGCCCACGAAGTAACATTATCATTAATGATTTATAAACCCAATTGTTTATGAAGAAGATAATCAAGCAGCCACACCATGACATCAATGCTGGGCTTGGTTTAGGTTTAAGAAAAAGTTAAGCATATTTCATCCACAGGTACCTAACCACAACCCCAGATAATTTAATTTTTTAATTAACTACAAATCATTTTCTTATTACCTAGTTCATCGATATCGTGCCGTCACAATTAAGAATTAAACCATGACCTCATTGGCCGGTGATTGGGGCCACAATTTAAAATCAAAATCAAGTACATTAACCCATCTTAGAGGATTAACAAAATAATTAATTAGGAGAGAGGAATAATTAGTTTAATGCCCCACAAATTGACATGTTGCAGAAGTGATAATTGATTAGTTAAATGATAAGAGATACTAAAGAAGAAGCACTTATGACAGGATTAAAAAGCCATATATAACATTCCATCTTTGAAGATTCCTAAAGTCAAAGTCCTAACATGGGGAAAACGAAATTGGTGTGTACATCACTAATAACACTTCGTAAGTTAGCTCGAAGGATTAGTTCAACTTGTACTCGATCACTTGATAGATGCTTTAGGGTGATATTAATCAAGAGTTCGATACTTCACAAGGTGAAAGAGGTGATTTGTGGGCACGTTCCCTAAATTTAACCCCGGCACATGGGCCCAGAGTTGACTACTAGCCACGTGTCCAAATTATTTTTATCTAATTTAGTGACTTTCTTTTGGAACATGATCAATTACAATTATTGAATTGATAGTAGCTCTCAATTAATAGTGGGATCCACTGTCAATATAATAATAAAATGATAAGATTAATAGATAAAGTCTATGTAATATTGATCTTTTAACTTCTAATGTTATCAAAATGCTACAATGACAGGAGATTTCTTTCACACACTATGACGTGTTAAATCATGATGCCAAATTGATACTATGCAATTCAAACACGATTTGCTTTTAGATTTAGGAAAATGAAAGATGAGGTTGTAGAGGAGAAATGACCATTAAGGGTGGAGGTGGGACGGGTTGACCACCTCCCCCGAGGTTTCCTTTCTTCTAGTGGGATTTCTTTTCTCTACACCTAATTTTGGGATTCATCAGATTGAGTTGGATTGGATGCTTTGGCATAATTACTTGATATGTTGACAGTGAGATAAGACTTGCAAACCAAATGAGTCTGTATCCTCCTAACAGCCGTGACTGCAACTCTTTCTTATGTTAGCTGATGATTAAAGAAAAAACAAAGCAAACCAACTTTTTTCAGCCTGATAAAACCTGTCTTAATCAGAAGAAACACGCATGGTCTGAGTGGTTGAAAGCATCTTCCATTCAAAATTTCATGCACAATACCCCAAAACATTGTTTTCTGGTCTGATCAGAACCAGCAAAAAATACCTCATGTGCCCTAATGGCATTGGCTGGCCGGTTCAAGACCGCATGGTCCAAGTGAAATTGTTTTATTGTGACCTTAACGGATTGAAGTTGTTCTCTGAGTAAGGCTACTACGTGTGACCACCCTCCCAGAAACGACAGCAGTAGTGGGAGGCCTGTGCACTGGCCGCCCCGCCCCCTTTTTTTTGGAAACTGCATGGCAGTGAGAAAATTATTCCTGTCAATGATGTTATCTAGTTCATTAGATGGAAAGTGCCTGAAATGCAATAACCCATTAATAAAAGTTTAATATAATTAAATTTCTTGGCATGATCCAACTGCCTCGGATTAATTAAATGTCGAAAATTCACAAGAAATTCAGTCATTCAGATATGAAACAGGTGAAAAATCAGAGAAAAAGGCTGTAAATTGCTGATATATATATGATCTATCATTAAACTTCTGCGAACGAAAGGAGACATAACTCAACAATGGTATGATCACAACAAACTACGAACTAATGTACACAAGTGACCAAGTTGCTTCCATCCTTGCAGCTAAAAAACCAGAGCTTGAGATGGATGGACCAATATAGAGGAGATCACAAAACCGTCTCTCTCTATTCTGATCCTGCACTTGAAATGCACCTACGCATGTCTCCATGACAACTCGAGACAACAAAACAACTTAAAACATACGATGTGCTAACATAGTAACACTACCTTAGAGCCATAACTTCATACTAATAGATAATCTACTACTGTACTATGGTCTAAAAGAAGGGCATAGCCCTTGGTGCATGTCTGAGTTTGTAACTGCCAAAAAAGCCCTGAAAAATATGCAGCTTTTAGTGCAGCTAATGGTGGTGGAGGGAGGACCTGATTGTGTGGAAATGAAAGATAAGTGAAACCCACAGGGTTTGAAGATCCAGTGACTGTGGTCGAAAAGAAGTAACAATGCTCCAAAGAAAGTCACACAGGTTGTTTCATGAAAAGTCTGCAACCAGTGAGAAGGGTATAGTGAGAAAGAAAAACATGGGAGTGAAGAACGAATAAAACAAAAAAAAAAAAAAAAGAAAAAAAAGTGAAATAAGGACTCACAGGCTGTTTGAAAAATCTACAACCAGTGAATGTGAAGAAAAAAAAAAGTTCTTCAACCCACAGAGAGAAAGATAGATAGACAGAGGTAGAGAGAGAGAGAGAGAGAGTGTGTTTGTGTGTGGTGGTGAAAGTGGTGGGTGCTTGTGTTGGGGGGCTGCTGTATTCTTGCATTTGAAAAGCTGAACCTAATGCAGCTTCTTCCTGGAGGCTAACTACTGATCTTGATCCTTCCAAAAGAAGGGTTTCACGGGACCAGAAGATGAAGTTGAACCCAAATTTTCTTGCTGTTTCTGAGGATCAGGGTTCTGAAACTCCCGCTGATGAACATTGCTGCCAAAAGGAAGATTTGAAGGCAACAAAAGATTATTATTAGTGTCCAAATCATCCCAAGCAGGACTAGCTGGACCCCAACCAGCTGGAATTTCATTGAACCAAGCATCTGTCATTTCACCCCAAACCAATTCTGATGACTGTGATGGACCTTCCCTTGCACCAGAACTCTCCACATTCGCTTGAACTCCCTTGACCTCACTCGACCCCAATCCCGAATCATCATCGGGATTTTCATCTTGAGGTTGAAGATGAGATTGCTGTGGCAACGCCACATTGGAGACCTGCAAGTTAAGGCCTTCTGAAACTTGTTCAGACTGCTTTGAAAACCTGCCAGGTACCAAATTTTCGTGGGGTGTGGAAGGAGACGACGACAACGAACAAGGTGCTGTTGAAACCGCTCTATCTTTACCAAGGAAGAGTTCAGGGAAATTGAGCCGAGCATTCTCTCCTCTCAACTTAAACGCCTCACGATCGTATGCTAATGCCGCATCCTCGGCAGTATCAAAAGTGCCGAGCCAGAGGCGAGTCCTGTTTCGGGGAAGACGAATTTCAGCCACCCATTTTCCCCAGTGCCTCTGCCTCACTCCTCTGTAGAGCTTCGTAGTCGAAACAGGCGGTACAAAAGGCCTAAACATGCCTCTACTGTCCTGTCCCAACCTGTTCATCATCATCAACCTTCCTCTTGGACTTAAATTCAATGCATCATTCCAATACTGCAGCAATTGTTGCTGTTGAAACTGCGACGATGCCAAGTCACCCGAAAAGCTCGGTGGGTACACGAAACCGTGCTGGTGTTGGTGCTGGTTGGGTGCAAAAGATATCATCTGTTGCTGCTGACTCTGCAGTGGTGGGCGAAACAGAGGAATTGAATTCGTGCTATATTGGTGTAAACTTTCCATGGATTGTTGAGACCCTTCAAAGGCAAAAGGAAAAACAAGCCTTGAAGAGGCCGAGGCCGAGGCCGAGGCTGATGAGGATGGAAGAGGAAAGGGTATAGGTATATTGGTACTGTAAGGTAGAGTGGAGGGAAGAGAGAGAGAAGGTGGTGTCTGGTGAGGGAAAGAAACAGAGGATTGAAATGGGTCTTGGCGTTCAGGACTCTTCATCTTCTTGAGAGGCCTCTTTGACATGGAAGCTTCATTAAAAACTGGCTCCCTTTCTTGCCTCTCCAAGTTGATATGAAGGTCCTTGCCTTGATCTCTCTCCCAACCCATCTGGCTTATTCCCTGAGATTCATCAATAGACTTCTTCGATTTGCCACTGTTCTTATCTGCCATTAACACAATCCCAATAGCTCACCGCCCGCTCTCTCTCGGAACAGAGACGAACAACAACACTGATGGTTTTGTATGCAAAGGGTTGCGAGAATTTGAGATGGATCACAAAATCAAAGAAGAAAAACAAGATTGAATTCAAATTTGACAAAAACCCAATTGAAAAGAATCGCAAAATTTCAAAACCCAGTTCTAAATTCGGCCATTTAGTTAAAAAAAAAAAGACCCAATTATAGAATTCGAATCCGAATCTGAATTTAACTGCTAATGTTTTGGATACAAAACAGAACAGAAAACTGAAACTGGTGAATTGAAGAGCAACCCATCCCAAATCTCTCTTGGGTGATGGAAAATTGGTTGGGTGAGAGAGCGAGCGACTTCAAGGCGAAGGAGAGAGAATCCAAGTGGGTTTTGCTTCACTTGGAGGTATTGTGTGAACAGTGAGATTTGGAACAGAATCAGAAGCTGAAAAAGCAGGGGCTTTGTTGTATGTTGGAGGTGAGAGGTTACGCAGGGGGGGGTGGGGTTATATGAGGCCAGAAAAAGATTTGGTCAATACATTTTGAAGAGAGAGAAACTGTAGAAGCATCTTCATTGGTCTGTGCTTTAGTGTTGGCCCCACACGACTCCCAGTTCCGTTGCTTCCACTCTAACCTTTGATCTCTCTCACTCTCTCTCTTAATAGTTTTATTTTCTTCATATATTTTTGCTAATTACGAGATATTCCAACCCCGTAGGACATTTTCCTAGTTTTACCTTATGATTATCAAAACAAATTCTTTACCGTGGGCAGATAAAAAATTAATTTTTACCATCATATACTATCCTAGTCAAAATAGGATCCAAATACATCATATGATATTAGAGGTAATACTCTTACAATATATAGAAATTAGTGCACACTATCTTCACTATTTGGAATGTGATTGCTCTTTTACATGGCATCTTGTTTAAAGTTGAAAGTTAAAAAGATTATTTGTCCTAATCTAACCAAAAATAATCTTGTTTTTAGAGTAGATATGACATATGACCATTTTACTTCAACCGATAAAATATGCATATGAAAAATTTCTCCTCTATAAACTACTATGCATAATGTTGTAGCTGTGGAGGGTACCCATTTAAAAGTTGTTTATTCATTAATTACTAAATTACAAAACAAGAACAGTGATTTTGCATTAAAATAGATCAACAGGCTTATGCAAAATTAACGTTTAAGTGTGTGATAAAGTATAATTAATAGATAATTAATAACGCAATTAATGACAATAATATAAATATCGGGTCAACATGCAGATATATAGTGGTTCGGCCCGAGTGACCTATTCTACTCCGAGAAACGGCAACGGTGGCCGGAGAACCTTTATTAATGAAATATTAGGTGAGAGAGAGAGAGAGANACTGAAACTGGTGAATTGAAGAGCAACCCATCCCAAATCTCTCTTGGGTGATGGAAAATTGGTTGGGTGAGAGAGCGAGCGACTTCAAGGCGAAGGAGAGAGAATCCAAGTGGGTTTTGCTTCACTTGGAGGTATTGTGTGAACAGTGAGATTTGGAACAGAATCAGAAGCTGAAAAAGCAGGGGCTTTGTTGTATGTTGGAGGTGAGAGGTTACGCAGGGGGGGGTGGGGTTATATGAGGCCAGAAAAAGATTTGGTCAATACATTTTGAAGAGAGAGAAACTGTAGAAGCATCTTCATTGGTCTGTGCTTTAGTGTTGGCCCCACACGACTCCCAGTTCCGTTGCTTCCACTCTAACCTTTGATCTCTCTCACTCTCTCTCTTAATAGTTTTATTTTCTTCATATATTTTTGCTAATTACGAGATATTCCAACCCCGTAGGACATTTTCCTAGTTTTACCTTATGATTATCAAAACAAATTCTTTACCGTGGGCAGATAAAAAATTAATTTTTACCATCATATACTATCCTAGTCAAAATAGGATCCAAATACATCATATGATATTAGAGGTAATACTCTTACAATATATAGAAATTAGTGCACACTATCTTCACTATTTGGAATGTGATTGCTCTTTTACATGGCATCTTGTTTAAAGTTGAAAGTTAAAAAGATTATTTGTCCTAATCTAACCAAAAATAATCTTGTTTTTAGAGTAGATATGACATATGACCATTTTACTTCAACCGATAAAATATGCATATGAAAAATTTCTCCTCTATAAACTACTATGCATAATGTTGTAGCTGTGGAGGGTACCCATTTAAAAGTTGTTTATTCATTAATTACTAAATTACAAAACAAGAACAGTGATTTTGCATTAAAATAGATCAACAGGCTTATGCAAAATTAACGTTTAAGTGTGTGATAAAGTATAATTAATAGATAATTAATAACGCAATTAATGACAATAATATAAATATCGGGTCAACATGCAGATATATAGTGGTTCGGCCCGAGTGACCTATTCTACTCCGAGAAACGGCAACGGTGGCCGGAGAACCTTTATTAATGAAATATTAGGTGAGAGAGAGAGAGAGAGTAATGGTTAACTTTGGGAGAGATACAATAGTTAGGAGAGAGAAAAACTAAGTGAGGAGGTGTAGAGAGATGTGTCCTCTCATGTAGAAAGAGTTTACAATCTATACGCACAGAGCTTTTGTTAAAGTAGTGACGTAAGAGTAAAGATACTAGCTCTCCGGGAAGGATAACTATAAAAGGTAAATACAATTAAAGATTGTTTTGATCTTCGAGAGCAGCTATCCCAGTAATTACTCCCCACGTGCGCTAATCTTTCTGGACTCCTTGAACTTTGGATTAGGCAGAATCCATGAATTGGGCTTGACTCGTCTTGTAGTTGATTTGGGTCTATCCATTAATTAGGCCTAGTCCAATTAAATCTGGGATTGTCATTTGCTCCGCATGCCTCAAGCCCTAGTAGTGATTGGGGGTTAAGGGCATGAGTGAGCTCTTTCCTTTGGGTAGAACAGATATCTTGTTCCATATGGTGGCTTCTTCGGCTTTCCATTCATGACATTTTTGAACCTTATTTCTCTATTTGGTAACGTCATTGTTGGAGAGAGGATGAAGATAAGAATGGACACTTCGACGCGTGGAGATAGAGATGTTTTGGCGAGTGGCGCCATGGATATGAACCTAGGCAACACTAGGAAGGCACAAGGCTGGGCAACGCCATGGAGGTCTCAGGCAAATTGATGATGTCTTTGGTTTATGAAAATTCTCTCTTTCACAGGTGATTCCGTAATTGATGGGTCAACGACGAAGGCTCTCTACGTCACTAGGATAGTGGCTTCCCCTCCTCCTAGAAGGGGTGAGATCTGATGTCCCTAGTGCTTTCCAATTGAGGTATGATCGTCCTGTTGTTTCTCAGAAGACAGGGTTTAATGCCCCCAGTGCTTCACATAATTATCCTGCTTTCTAACAATGGTCTGATGTCCTTGTTGCAGGATGTGAGTTTTGGCTAGGGAGAGGCTTTAGAGGTTTGTGACACCCTTGGATGTCAGCTCTCGAGGTCTTGAGGGTATCATCAATTCCAAGATAGAGTACTTAGCTTTGGTACCTCGCTGTTATGTGGAACCCTCTCTTCTGTATGCTTGATCATGTTGACATTCTGGCTTTCAAAAATTTGCAGATGGTTGCGAATTTTTTGTACTTTTGAGGACACTAAAACTCAACGATGTGTTAAGAGCTTTTGTGAAAAAGAGACCTGGGCACCAGGCCGCAGTTGAGGTTGGCTCATGAGAGAACAACAACTCTCGAGATCGAGCTTCTAGAGAACGAGACTGTTTGCGTATAAGCACAGACTAAGTTAGGCCAAGCTTTTGGGAGACCAAGGCTGTTTCAGAGCAGAGATAAAATTAGACCAAACTTTTGGGGACTCGTGAGAGAGCAGCTAAGTTGGACACTGAGGTTGCCTGCATGAAAGTAGAGGCATAGTTAGACTGAGTTTTGTAGCGACTCTCGTGAGAGCCGTTAAGGTCGAGACATAGGTTGCCTACTTGAGAGTAGAACAGATATAGGTCAAGCTTTTGTGAAAGCCGCTAAGCTAGAGATATAGACTACCTGCTTAAGAACAAAGTAGAGATAAACTAAACTTTTGGCGACTCTCGTGAGAGCCGTTAAGCTGGAGACATAGGTTGTCTGTTTGAGAACAGAGCAGAGATAGGTCAAATTTTTGGGGACTCGCGAAAGAGTCGCTAAGTTAGAGACATAGACTACCTGCTTGAGAGTAGAGTAGAGTAGAGATAGGCCAAAATTTTGTAGACACGCGAGAAAGTTGCTAAGTTGAAGACATAGGCTGCCTGCGTGAGAGTAGAGTCAGATTTAAGCCAAGCTTTTCTGGCGACTCGTGAGAGAAGCGCCAAGCTGGAAATACAGACTGTTTGTTTAAGAGCAGAGGCAAGAAGAGACCGTGCTTTTGGCGACTCTTATGAAAGTTGTTAAGGAGATTGAGGTTGCTTGTATGAGAGCAGAAGTAGGAAGAGGCCGAGCTTTTGACAACTCGTGAGAGAGACGCTAAGCTGGAGACATAGGTTACTTGCATAAGAACAAAAGTAGAGTTAGGCCAAGCTTTTGGCGACTCTTGTGAGAGCCACTAAGTTGGAGATATAGGCTACTATTTTGAGAGTAGAGTAGAGATAGACCAAATTTTTGGTGACTTGTGAGAGAGTTGTTAAGCTGGAGATACAAGTTATCTACATAAGAGTAGAGACAGAAATAGGTCAAGCATTTTAGCCACTCTTGTGAGAGCCGCTAAGTTGGAGATTAAGACGCGAGCGTCACTGAGCGAGGACGACAAAAGGCACTGGGTGCTGCTAGGCATGGACGCCGAGGGATGCAAGGCACTGCTGGGCACGAACGTCGAGGGGCATTGGACGCTGAGCACGAATGCCAAGGGGCACTGGCCGCCGTTGGGCACAGACGCCAAGGGGCGTTGGAATCCATTGGGCATGGACGTCGAGAAATGTTGGGTACAGGTGTGCTGGCACCAATGATGTGGGTGATAAAATGAGACATTGTAGGCCAACTGGGCGACACCATGACTTGAGGTAGAGGGCTACGTCACTCGCAGTGGCTGGACGACACCACTGGGTAGTGGCCATGGGTGACGTAGGTTGGGTCGCTAGCTGGTGCTAAGCGCTAATCGTTGGTGTGTGCGCTGAGGATTATGGGTGTTGTCTGCTGGGTACAGGTGCTGGGTGCCGTCTGCTAGTTGTTGTCCGTTGGGTGTAGGCACTGGGCGTTGTCCGCTGGACGCAGAAGCTGGGCATTATCTGTTGGACACTAGGTGTTATCCATTGGATGTAGGCGTTGGGCGTTGTCCTTTGGGCGCTATCTATTGGGCGATGTTCACTAGGTGCAGGCAGTAGACGTTGTCTAATGGACGTTAAGAACCGAGGGGAATTGGGCGTCGCTAGACACGTACGCCGAGGTGTGGTAGACGCCGCTGGACACGAACATTGAGGTACGCTGGGTGTGGATGCTGCTAATGTGGATGACCACCTACTTTGAGGGGTTTGAGCGATGTCATTGATGGCTCCCCAGGCGGCACCTTTGCTGGATCTTTAGGCTGCGCCTCTGTTGGCTCCTTAGGCAATGCCATGGAGAACTTGGGCAACGTCGGCAGCTTGCACAGGATGGGCGAGAGTAGGTCGCCAATTGGGGCAACAAGGGGCGACATTGAGCTCTAGTTGAACGGTAAGCGGACGACGCCAAGAAACGGTTAGAGCCTAGGCGACGTCGAATCTTGGGGCAAGCTTAAGTGACACTACTGTTGTTGCTGATGGAGGAGATAGGCTGGCACCATGGGTGCAAGGGCGCCAGACGAGGCAAGTTAGGAGCCACGTTACGCAGACTGGGCGCCAGGCGACACAAGGCTCAAAGGCGTCGTTAAGCAGGGTAAAGTCACAAGCACAACGTAGGCTAGATGACGCCACAAGCACAATGCTAGGCTGGGTTACGCTACGCAGGCGTTGGCTGCGTGGGCGAGGAGGTAGGTTGGCACCATGGTTGTAGGAAATGCCAGGCACGGGGATGTGGGCGACTCTAGGCAGTGGGCCTTGGCCTTGGCGATGCCAGGCAGCGCTTGGCCTTGGCTTGGGCGACGCCATGGGCGTTATTCTTGGCATGGGTGACAATGCCTAGGAGAGGGGCTCTATGACTGGAGAAAATCAGCTAGACGGCGGCACCAAGCTCTGTGACAATCTACTGAGCGGTTGAGTATTTAGAAAACCATGACGAAACGACAAAACTTTGAACGCCCATAATTTTGTGCTTGATTGTCTGTTTAAGGCAATTTTTTTTTGAATTTGGGTATTTTTTTGAGATCTACGACTTACTCAAATTTCTCCAAAATTTGTCGTTTGGGCACCAAATTTCTCCAAAAAATTTTTATTTCTCACAGAATTTGAGTTTTTAACCCCAAATTAGTGAAAAAGTAGATTTTGCATGTGTCTACTTTTTGCCGGTGGAGGCGGGACCTCATCAAGATGTGGCAGGTCATCTTTTGCTTTGTGATTCACGAATTTGGTTGCTCTTACAATTGGACGTAGGAAGACTATAAGGAGACAATCAAATTGCTTATCACAAACGGAGCTAAACTGATTATGCATAAAACAACCTAAAGCAAGATCAATAGTTTAGAGTGTGATAAAATATAATTAATGGACAATTAATAAAAAAATCAATGATAATAATGTAAATATCAGGTCAATATAGAGATATATAGTGGTTCATTCTGGATGACCTACTCTACTCCAAAAACGGCAACGGTGGCAAGAGAACCTTTATTGATGAAATAATAGGTGAAAGAGAGAGCAATGATTAGCTCAAGGAGAGATACAATAGCTAGGAGAGAGAAAACTATATGAGAAGGTGTAGAGAGATGTGTTCTCTCACATACAAAGAGCTTACAATTTACAGGCACAGACAGAACCTTTGTTAAAGTGGTGTTGTGAGGGTAAAGATACTAGCTCTCTGGGGATGATAACTACAAAAGGTAAGTACAGTTAAAGATTGTTTTGATCTTCGAGAGCATCTATCCCGTTACTTCTCATGTGCGCTAATTCTTCTGGACTCCTTGAACTCTAGACTGGGCCGAATCCATAAATTGAGTTTGACCCGCCTTGTAGTTGATTTGAGTCTATCTCAGTAATTAGGCCTGACCCAATTAAATATGGGTTCGTTAGGATCCAAATACATCATATGATATTAGAAGTAAAACTCTTACAATATAGAAATTAGTGCACACTATCTTCACTATTTGGAATGTGATTGCTCTTTGACATGGCATCTTGTTTAAAGTTAGAAAGTTAAAAAGATTGTTTGTCATAATCTAACCAAAAATAATCTTGTTTTCAGAGTAGATATGACATATGACCATTTACTTCAGCCGATAAAATATGCATCTGAAAGATTTCTCCTCTATGAACTACTATGCATAATGTTGTAGTTGTGGAGGGTACTCATTTAAAAGTTGTTTAATCATTAATTATTAAATTACAAACACAAGAACAATGATTTTACACTAAAATAGAGAAATTAGTGCATAGCTTTATCACTAATAAAGGGGTCAGAATTTTGACCTGTGACATTAAAATTATTCTAAGACACGTGGCAAGATCATGTACTGGAACATCAATGGTTTGTTCATCACCGAGCATGAGAAAGGCTCGGTATAACATGAGGTGCTTGGTCAGAACATTTTTCGAGCAAAAAAGTGCATAAAGAGCAAAGTTTGGCAATGTACGCCTAAGAAAGAAACCTTGTGGTGACTAGAGTCTGGTTAAAAGAGGACGTTATCTTATGGGGGATTAGGCCTTATCTGAATGAGAGATAGTTAAGCTACCCCTAGTAACCCGAGTTGAACTGAGCAAACCAATTGCCAGGCAATCTCAAGAAATCAGAGGCAGAGAAAAATCAAATTGGAAGTTGCTTAAGTTATAGGTAAACATTATAAACGTGATCTACATAAGAGGCTGACCAGAAAGTAAGCCTAGAGAGACTCCAATACGAATTATGGAGGATTTGGCTAAAAAATAGGCGCATCACCTTGTTTAGCCAGTGGTGAAATCTTAGAAGAGGGTACAAATCACTATAAATACCGAAAAAAGCTTAAGTTTAATGTACACACTCTTTCACTTCAAAATTCGTTTACTTGCTTCTAGAACTTTTATTAATTTAAGTATCGGAGTGTCTTTGACTGATTAATCGACCAATAAATTCCCAATTTTCTTACCATTTGTTCATTTTGCAGTAAGATGATCTCCCTTTTCGTTTTCGTAGGGATTATCCAGAGTCTATAACCATCAATTCAAGGTACGAGGATTTTTTCAAGTACAACTAATAGGGTATTTTGGTTTAATGAAAAATTGGGTGGATAGAAAATATGAAAAATAAAAATAGAATGAAAAGAAAAAATTTTCATTGTTTGGTTTCCAGAGGAAAATTGGAGGGAGGAAAAGGAGTGAAAATTTGATGACAAACTATTTTTTTGACAAATTAACATTTTTGCCCTTGAATATTTTTCTAAACATTATGTCACAATTCCAATTTTAAACCTGCATATTTTTCAAGAAATACTTCTAAATTTTATCTCACATATATTTTACATATATATGTTTTTGGGCTATTATATTTGGTCAACATATTTTTATTTATTTATTTATTTTTATAAGTAATTAAAGCGACTTTAAATAATTTCAAATCTTAAAAAAATTTAATTTATAATAAAAAATTCATTTTTTATGTATAAGAGTAATAGTAAATCATGTATATGTATTATTTATTTTTTTTTTCACTTATCCTTCATTACTAAATAGTAAAAAATTAATTTTTCCAATTTTTCATCCATTATACCAAAAATAAAAATCCTACAAAGACAAAAAATCTATTTCTCGTTTTTTTTTATCTTTCCAATATGGAAATGTGATTGTTCTTTGGTCAGTGCATGTCGTTTTATGTTAAAATTTTAATAGACTTCTTCTTTACAAACTCTTATAAATGTAGTTGCGGCTGTCTAGGACCCATTTAGAAGGAACTTGACAACTGTACCAAAGAAAAAAAAAATTATGTCGGATCTTCAAATTTTATTATTTTAATAAATATTTTTATAATTTTTGTGAGTCATTTTATAATTAAAAAATTTATTATACTTGTGAGTGATTTATTACATTTATATATATTTTTACTATTGTTGTGATATTTATTTTTGCTTATTTTTCTGTTAAAAAAAAAATTATCACTTTTATGGGTGATTAACTATATTTGTGGATATTTTTATCACTCTTGTGATACCACAAGAGTAATAAAAATACTCATAAATATAATAAAAATAAGTACAAATGTGATAAAAATCGACATGGTACCAAAAAAGTAGACAAGCCCATTTAAAAGATACAATCTTTCATTTTGCATCTCAAAAAAATGAGAAAAGATATTTTATTATCTTTATTTTTTATTATATTTTAAAAAGATTCTGTTTCAATTTTTATTTACGACCCAAATTATTAACTAAATGTCACTATTTAATAATAAACTTACAATTAAATAAGGTATATATTGATTTGTTATTATATTGTGATACCACATATTAATAGTGACGTAATATCATCGATAAATTCTATGTTTTATCCATTTGTAGCAGCTTGTCCGTACAGTGATGTGGTTAATTGTGATTGGGTCTTGGCCAGAGATGCTACTTTGGATCTCTAGCAGTTTTCAAAGTCACGATGGTCCATACTGTTGTCAAACCCAACCAGCTAGTTCACACTGATTATCTTGAATTTTGGACTTTGAATTTGTCCCAATATTTTATGGCCTCAGTTTCCGCTGTGTACAGTCCAACGGTGAAAATCGTACTCAAAACACTCGGAATTTATACAGAGTTTGGCTTAAAAAATTTGCACTACTCGAAATTTTGACCAATGATCTCAGCGAATTTTGACAAGAATTCTAAGGTTGTTGACGGGAATTCAGGTGCTTTGACAATGATAAACGGACACGTGATTAGTTGCACCTGCTAAGAAATGAAAAGTGTGCTTAAGAAGGCGTCAAGGAATTATGACCTGCATTGCCGAGTATGCCCCCTTTGAAACTAGCATTAAAAAAGATATGATAACTCATTAATGGGATCATGAGTGATTATAGTAAAGTCATTAATAAGTGTTCAAGTCTTCGAAATATGAGAAGACAGTCATTATTATAAGGTATTAATGACCATTAACTAGTCATTAGATGATTTGATGGAATGACACTCATGATGCTAAAATATGAGTGCATACTATTAAATTCTGAGATGTGATTCAAAGACACTGTCATCATTGCAAATCCAAGTATAAATGCCCCTCAAAAAGTTAGACTAAGATAGACAATTTGAAAACAAAAAATACATTGTATTAATAACTCCAATGCCAACTGACTTGAATTTTGAAGGGGATTAGCCGAATACACACTTGACCCCATTTTTTCTAATCCTTTATTTTAAGTTCATCATTGAGGATCATTTCGTGCATCACTATCTTAATTCATTATAGGAAATCACCCGTGCAGTTATGGAATATATTATTTTCTACATCATAAAATCAAAAATTCAAAATTACAAGCCGACCTCTTCCTATTCTTGCCCTTTACAACAATGTCTTTGCAAAATTGGACTTGAAATATGGGATTATTATTGCTCTGTCGGGAATGTTTTAACTTTCATACTGATTTTGAGAAAATTTGTTAGAAGAATTTATCCCATTTAATCTAATCCTAGTATCCGTCACCAAAATGACACCTGAATTTCTTCATGCATTGTCTTTAAACCTATTAACCTATGGATGATACCCAGATCATACTGCTTTGTATGAAGAAAACTTTACCATTAGCTTATGCTTATTTCCCACAAACCCATTTAATAAGTCTTATTTAAAAAGTAGTTGCTGCATAATGTAGCTATAAATTTATTATATGTTATCATGTCAACAGTGCAGTATAAAAAATTCAGCCAAGTGTAATCAATCNCGGGAATTCAGGTGCTTTGACAATGATAAACGGACACGTGATTAGTTGCACCTGCTAAGAAATGAAAAGTGTGCTTAAGAAGGCGTCAAGGAATTATGACCTGCAT